TTCATTAGATAGCCGTGGTACTAGTGAGTGGGTTAGGTGTTAATAAGTAATTATAATATTTTTAAGTTAGATATATTTTGTGAGTGTGTATATTGTGGCACAATGGCGATGAAAATGGAGGTCAATCGTTTGGAAAAGGAAGAGTTAATATATGAGGTTACTGGTTATACCCCAAATTTTATGGTCTATGGTCGGGAGCTGCCTTGTTCAAATGAAAATCTTCTCGATAATGTTGAACCGATTTTTTTCGATAGAGCTACTCCGATGGAAAATCGGTCTAAATCCTTGAATCAAATTTTCTCGGACGTCAAAAAGAAGCTTTTTAGAGCTTATGAGGTAAATAAGAAGGTTTATGATCTAAGACGTCGTCCTGATGAGCTTCTGCCTAATCATTTGGTTTGGCGTCGTAACTATGTCCTTTCGGATGCATCGAAATATTTTTCCGCTAAACTTGCTCCTCGTTTTATTGGTCCTTTTATTGTGGCTAAAAGAATTAATCCATGGATGTACGAACTTAAAGATGACTCTGGAAAATCCTGTGGTGTTTGGAGCATTAAGGATCTGAAACGTCATCCAGAAGACGAGGATCCGTAGTTTTTTTCTTCGGTTTACTTAGGTAAACCTCCTTTTTTAGTAGGGGGGGATTTGTAACGGTTTCGATTAGTTTAGGATTCTGTATATAAAATGTACATAAGTATCATAATTGTAGGACTTGAGAAATTCCTGAGAATATATTAATGCGTCGATTCGTTTCCCACACAACGCGTTAGGTACCCCTCGTACCCCGCTTCCGCTACGATTATGATACTTATGTACATTTTATATACAGAATCCTAAACTAATCGAAACCGTTACAAATCCCCCCCTACTAAAAAAGGAGGTTTACCTAAGTAAACCGAAGAAAAAAAACTACGGATCCTCGTCTTCTGGATGACGTTTCAGATCCTTAATGCTCCAAACACCACAGGATTTTCCAGAGTCATCTTTAAGTTCGTACATCCATGGATTAATTCTTTTAGCCACAATAAAAGGACCAATAAAACGAGGAGCAAGTTTAGCGGAAAAATATTTCGATGCATCCGAAAGGACATAGTTACGACGCCAAACCAAATGATTAGGCAGAAGCTCATCAGGACGACGTCTTAGATCATAAACCTTCTTATTTACCTCATAAGCTCTAAAAAGCTTCTTTTTGACGTCCGAGAAAATTTGATTCAAGGATTTAGACCGATTTTCCATCGGAGTAGCTCTATCGAAAAAAATCGGTTCAACATTATCGAGAAGATTTTCATTTGAACAAGGCAGCTCCCGACCATAGACCATAAAATTTGGGGTATAACCAGTAACCTCATATATTAACTCTTCCTTTTCCAAACGATTGACCTCCATTTTCATCGCCATTGTGCCACAATATACACACTCACAAAATATATCTAACTTAAAAATATTATAATTACTTATTAACACCTAACCCACTCACTAGTACCACGGCTATTCTGGGAATAATATCACGTTACTATCGAACCTTTAATTTTTTTATAGTGTGTTATCAATACATTGTGTAAGATTTAGGAAATATCCAAAATATTTGCGGGTTCCTGAGTCCTCATAATTTTATAACTCTGAAACCTATAGTCGCTATAGAAGTCCGCAAATTTGTTCGTTCACATCCTTGGAACTCATAACTAACCATTTGGGACTCTATGCCATAACATTTCGTGCCCAGAGTTTTATATCTTAACGCCTATACTGAGAAGTGTGTATATAACTGTTTACATAAATATTGTGTAAGCCGATTGTGATCACAAAAGGTACTGAGAAAATTATTACATATAGGCATTCCATAATAGCAAATTTAAGCAATAATTAACATTTATTCTGGGTGCGATTTCGATAAACATAATCTTTTCTAGAGTCTCAGGAACACTGAATGTTTTATTGTTCCATCTTTTCAGAAATCCTAATATACGTACATTTGATTATGTTTCTGTTTACTTGACTTCCCCTAGCTAATGTTTAATTGACACTTGATGATACCCAGTGACCAAGGTTATTGAATGAGGTTTAGAATGATTCGGTTTCCTTGTAAGATGCAGAAAGTAAAGTAGAAAGTATTACGTGGCCGGATACTTAAACGTTTTGAGAGTGTAAAGGGATTTTCATAAGGTCACTGGCGCCCTTTTATTTTTATTCATACTTTAAGAACTTGCACGACCACTCACCGGCAGGTAGCTAGCCTGACACTCTTATTGACCACCCTATTTTGTGTATCTTGCTTTAGGGGAAAATTGGAGGGTGGCAAAATGGGGAGAATATATTAATGCGTCGATTCGTTTCCCACACAACGCGTTAGGTACCCCTCGTACCCCGCTTCCGCTACGATGCACCAATTGGTTCCTATCGAATTGTGAAAAGGTGATTTAGTGGTCATTTGGTTTTTGATCCGATCACAGCTATTAATGGAAATTTTGAAAAGACGTCAGATTGTAGCACGTTCCTTTTAAAGGGATCTATATCCATTATTTAGCATCCTGAGTGAATTTGGTTCTCTTGTGGAGTTGTTGTACTCACTCATCGACTTATGTCGGATTAAAGTGATCGCCTCAAAGCTGAATATTACTCAATTCTCTTGGTGAGTTTTCCTATTATTTAATTACATTTTCTGAGTATATTGCTAAGTGTTGGGGCTTATTTGTGACGTGTTTTCTTTTGCTATAGAAAATTGGAAGATCGTCTACTCTTGGGAAATCGACAAACTTCTTATATTGAAGCTGAAAATCCACACTTTACATTCCAGTGTGTAAGTAGCAGTACTTAATTGTTTTTTTATTTGAACGAAAAATCAATGAAGGTTGTGCAATAATTTTGGCAAATTGAATTCAAATATTTTGCTCTTCAAAATATTTCTCAGGACTTTTTTTTATTGCACAATAATTCATAGAAAATCGTAGTTTTCTATAGCTATATTTCAATAGGGTTTTTTATGTCACATTTTAGGGTAGCAAGGTTGTACCAAGAGGGTACGTGGTCATACCTTTTAAAAACAGTAAAGCAGCTACTCGATGTCCAACTCTCGTTAGCTGGTTATTCTCACGATTAATAAGGCCCTTTAGATCGCCTATTCTACAATCCGGACGTTAATACAATCTGTGGATTCTCCAGATTGCCAGATAAGTGTATCAACGTCTTTGGGAACCTATTCTGGGAATAATATCACGTTACTATCGAACCTTTAAATTTTTTTATAGTGTGTTATCAATACATTGTGTAAGATTTAGGAAATATCCAAAATATTTGCGGGTTCCTGAGTCCTCATAATTTTATAACTCTGAAACCTATAGTCGCTATAGAAGTCCGCAAATTTGTTCGTTCACATCCTTGGAACTCATAACTAATCATTTGGGACTCTATGCCATAACATTTCGCGCCCAGAGTTTTATATCTTAACGCCTATACTGAGAAGTGTGTATATAACTGTTTACATAAATATTGTGTAAGCCGATTGTGATCACAAAAGGTACTGAGAAAATTATTACATATAGGCATTCCATAATAGCAAATTTAAGCAATAATTAACATTTATTCTGGGTGCGATTTCGATAAACATAATCTTTTCTAGAGTCTCAGGAACACTGAATGTTTTATTGTTCCATATTTTCAGAAATCCTAATATACGTACATTTGATTATGTTTCTGTTTACTTGACTTCCCCTAGCTAATGTTTAATTGACACTTGATGATACCCAGTGACCAAGGTTATTGAATGAAGTTTAGAATGATTCGGTTCCTTGTAAGATGCAGAAAGTAAAGTAGAAAGTATTACGTGGCCGGATACTTAAACGTTTTGAGAGTGTAAAGGGATTTTCATAAGGTCACTGGCGCCCTTTTATTTTTATTCATACTTTAAGAACTTGCACGACCACTCACCGGCAGGTAGCTAGCCTGACACTCTTATTGACCACCCTATTTTGTGTATCTTGCTTTAGGGGAAAATTGGAGGGTGGCAACCTAACTATATGCAAGAAAAATTTAACGTTTTATAATTTAATTGGTCGGCGGATAACTGGCCGACCAATGGGATAACAGATTGCGTTTTCATCCGTCAGATTGCATACCTGACATTTTATCAGAAGGTGAATAAACCGGCCCTCAAAGAAATGAAAAAGAAGGCGGAAATGGGAAAAGCAGACAGTATGAAGCAAAAAAAAAAATATTACATTACATTACATCATTTTTTTACTCTTCTAACCTAAGTTAAACTCAATGTTAATCACGTACATTTATATTTTTCTTAAAAAATGGAGCTTAGTTTTTAATATTTGCATATTTAGGTTAAATTAACATTAGGAAATTTTTCCTGGCTCGGCTCGATTTAGGATACTATATTATTTAATACGGCCAAATTTTTTTTCAAAGAAAAACTCTCTTTTCTCGTACAAGCTTTCGCGAATGTTTATTCGCTTCTTCAGTTACAAACTAAAATATAAATATATAAATATAATACAAAAATAAATAATAAAAAATAAACTTACAAATTGTTATACAAATTTACATCTATACATTAATTATTTGTGTTCTTTTTTTCCAAAAATGCTGACAGAATTTTTTAAATGACTTTGAAATTAATAAAAACTGGTAAAGTAAAAGGTAAAAATTAAAAAAGTAAAAATTAAAAAAGGTAGAAATGTATAATATGATGATATTTATTACTATTAAATAATATGGTTATCCTAAATCCAGCCACGAAAAATTTCCTAATCTAATATTAGATATGGGGTTTTACCAACGAATTCAAGCACAGCATGGTTATAATTGCTGCTTTTCAAAAGTTTGGCATCTCCAAACAAAAAACTTGCATCTTTGAAAAACAGAAATATTTTCCTCTTAAAATGCAGACAGAACGGATTGATACTAAGACACATATACGACAAAACAAAAGGGATATATCAAATGATTGATTTTGAGAATGGAACTGAAGGAAATTTTTTTAAAAAATTTAGTTTCAAGGTAGAAAATAATATTTTAAATTTTGAAATTAAAATGACACACAAAAATATTTACAGAATTACAAAGGAACTTGAATATTTGGAATCTCAACTACATGATATTTTACCTACACTTATTTTAAACGAATTTAGACGTAGACAAACCCAAAATCGTGAATTTAATAAAATAAAAGCAAATAATATTCGTAAATTGGAGCACATCAAAAATTATAATAAAATTAAAATAAATTCAAAATGGTTTAAAAATCTAACTTCTGTAAATATTCCTGAAGAAGTTGAAAACATTTTATTACTCGGACCAAAATTTAGCTTACCTCCTGATAAAAATGACATTTCTATAAAACACCTTTTAGCTGATGTTGAATTTTCAGTACCTATCTGATTTAGAAATTGGTGATACCAAAAATATTTTACTTTGTCAAATCACTAACATCATCACAAATTTTCTACATAATTTCCCAACACATTATTCAGAAATAAAACATTGGTTTAAGAAAACAAAAACTTTTTTGAAAGAACAACCAGAAATTATTGTAACGAAATCTGATAAAGGAAATGTTTCCATTATTATGTATAAAGATCAATACAAAGAATTATCTGAAACAATGTTACAAAATGAAACTTATTATTTATCAAAGAGGAACTCAATGCATTAAATAAAAAAAAACGAAATTCAAGACCTTAACGTTATTTTTTCTAATCTACTTTTCCAAGATCAAAAAAATAATTAACATCAAAAAATAATTAACATCAAATACCTACATAGTTTCTTTATTTATATTTTCTTAAATATCATCATATTATACATTTCTACCTTTTTTAATTTTTACTTTTTTTTTCATCATTTAAAAATTTCTGTCAGTATTTTTGGAAAAAAAGAAAACAAATAATTAATGTATAGATGTAAATTTGTATAACTCAATTTGTAAGTTTATTTTTTCTAATTTATTTTTGTATAATATTTATATAATATTTATATTTTAGTTTGTAACTGAAGAAGCGAAAAGACATTCGCGAAAGCTTTCACGAGAAAAAAAAGAGTTTTTCTTTGAAAAAAAATTTGGCCGTATCCCCACTATTAAATAATATGGTTAAATTTACCACATATTTTGATAATCCAAACAAATCGGTAATCCAAACGGACCTTAGCAATAATTAGTTCGGATTATCCAGGTTGTACTGTATATCAATTATTATTAAAAATGTTTTTAGAATAGGTTTTCTAGCAATAAAGTATGATTTTTAGTTGCAAACAATGTAATTTTCACAAGTAAAAGATTTATTAGTAAAATTAGTAAAAAAACTTCTCTGGACGTTTTAGCTATAGCTTTTATGTTAGTTGGTTCTCTATTCTCTATAGGGACCGGTCAGGGATTGCTTTTATTTTCCACGGTGGCAAAAGGCGTGTAGTTTGTGTCATGCGTATTCGTACTATTTGTACAACAAAATAATTATTTTCGTTTCGTGTGTGGACCTGTGCGAGCTGTCTGAGAGGCGGCTATTGTGACTTTAAATTGAAGACTGTGAAGATGTGACTTTGTTATTGGGAATCGCGAATCATCGTGAGTGACTAGTTTATTTGTGAAGTGAGAGTGCTAGCTGACTAGGACAGCAATAATTGAGTTCACAGAAAATTTGAAACAATGGCATCAACAAGAATTTGTTCGTTGGTTCTTTTTGTTGAAATAAAATAATTTTTATTTTGAATTGATTTTGACAAAAATGGAAAACTTTAATGCAATCACTGAGCCTAGTCCTTTTATAATAGTATATAAGCTTTGTATCAATCAATTTGTTGGTCAAAAACATTATTTTTATTAGAATATAACTTTTTCCAAGATATAGTCAGGCTGTAAATATAGTCACGGATTTCGCGGGTCCACTAGAACTCGCAATCTCTAGGATCAGTTGTTGAATAGACGATGAATTTTTTGAAACCCGTGCTCGGTTGTGAATTTGAAAAATCTGGTAGTAGACTTGAACATATGTGTACAACAACAACACATTTTTCTTAGTCCAAAATTTTTCGAGTTTTTTACGCAAAATATTACCTAAAAATTGTACTTCTGGTTAGTTCTACATATAATCAGCCCCAGCAAACCTAAATTAAGGCAAAACCAAAATTTTTTATGAAGAAAATCAGTGCTGACGAGGCCTAATCTATAACATGGGTACCTGTTTCAAGTGCAGAAATTCTTGTGTTTACGTGGATGTTACCAAGGATAAATCCATTAAAGACCTCTTCGGTGGACCCTGTGACTTTTGCAGAAACATTTTCTGCAAGGATTGCTCAAAACTTACGTCCAGCGAAATTAGGGCGCTAATGACACAATCGCGTGTAATTGTTTTTTTCTACCAAGACTGCATGGCCAACATTAAACAGATAGGCAACATTCAAAAGGACTCTGAAGATATAAAACTAAAATTTAGTGCCCTACAGCAGAATGTTTCCAACATGAAGGAAGATATTCAAAATCTTCAGTCACAAGTGACCTCGGCGCCTAAATCCTACGCACAAGCACTAGCTAGCACCACTAGCACTTTGCAGAAGGATATTTCTGATATTAAAAACTCAGCAGAGTTTATTTCGCAGTGTTATGAAGATCAGAAAACAGAACTAGTTAAGGCCACTGAAACATTAAAGAAATATGACACCGAGAATAGTGCCCTAAAACAAAATATTAAAATGCTTGAAACCAAAATGTTTTTCTCTGAACAAAAAGAAAAGGAAAACAAAGTAATAATTTCTGGTCTGAAACAAGTAAGCACTGCAAATATCTCTGAAACAGTTAAAACTGTCTTTAGACGATTAAGTTTAGAATCACTCCAATATAAACAATGCTACAAACTGAATAACAAAGACAATTCTCCAATCCTAGTGGAGCTAAACAACAAGCAGGATAGAGCATGCCTATTCAAAAAACGCAAAGATATAGGCAAAATCTCAGCCGAGTCTTGTGGACTACATGGCGGCACAATATACTTCAATGAGGACCTTACAATGGAGAACCAAAAATTATTTAAACTTGCCCGAGATGCCAGAAAACAAAAACTTATTGGAGCCACCTACACATATCTGGGCTTGGTGTATGTGAAAAAGGATGCCAACTCGCCTGCTGTCAAGATATTAAGCGAGGACAACCTCAAAGAGCTGTACTAAACTTACCATGTTTGAAATACCTACGCCTAATATAGGATTGTACTTAATTATATAAAACTTTACCCATTTCTAAAATGGCTTCCTCAACATTGTCACTTAATGTGCAGAATATTCAAGGTTGTCGAACTAAACTAAAAGAGCTAAAACTGTCCTTCGATAACTGCTCTTTTGATGCTGCTTTTGTCACTGAATCATGGTTAAATGACAGCATATTGGACCATGAAATCGTCGACCTGAGGAGATACTCAATTTTTCGTCGGGACAGGATTACTACATGCTCCAAAAAAGAAGAAGGGGGTGGAGTTTTCATAACCGTTTTGAACAAATATAACCCGGTCGGTCTTCAGGAGTTTGGCAGTGATGCTGAGGATGTTTGGGCCCTCTTGACTGTTGGTAATATCAAGGTTTACTTATGTTGTGTTTATCTACCACATGGTGATGACGTGAATTATGCCTATTTTTTAACAAAATTAGGTTCGAACTTTAAAAAGATAAAAGATCACCCTGTAATCATTTGTGGCGATTTTAATTACTCGACAGTCGATTGGCTCGAGGAGAACGCTCATTTTGAGCCGTTTAATGTACCACCTAAGTATAGTGAGCTACTAGAAGCTTTTTCATTTAATGGCCTTACGCAATTTAATAATATTTACAACGCAAATAATAGGCTTTTAGATTTAGTATTCTGCAATAAGTTTTATATTAATAATTTAGTTCAATCTGACCATCCCCTGTTGCCCGAAAATATAAACCACCCATCCTTGGAGTTCTTGTTTGACTGTCCTCATGCCGAATTAAAAGAAAAATGCAAAAAGAAATACTTTAGAAACTTCAAACAAGCTAAATATACTGATATCAATAACGTGCTCAACTTGCAGGACTGGCCATCACTGCTAAACCCTAAAAATAATCTGGACATAAATGTCAAAATATTTTATAATACCTTAAACAAAATTATACAGGATAAAGTTCCTCTAAAAGGTATAAATAATGACTTTCCTCCCTACTTTTCTAAAGAAACAATCAAACTAATATTAAAGAAAAAAAAATTACACAAAAAATGGAAAGATAACAAAAATGTAAACTCCTATAATGCTTTTAAACTTCTCCGTTCACAAACAAAAAGATGCATTGGCACTGACTACCAGTCATATGTTTCTAACATAGAAAACGAAATACCTAATAATAGCAAAAAATTCTGGCAGTTTGTGTCAAATAAAGGATCAAATGGAGGGACTCCTAGGGAGATGAAGTTTGGTGACAGGGTGGCAGAGGATGGAGCTGGAGTCTGTAAGTTATTTTCGGATTTTTTTCGAAGCGTATATGTTGAAAAATCTCCTACAAAGAAAAAAGTTGAAAAACACCGTCAAGACAAAAATAAGACACTTTCTAAGATTATACTGAGTGTAAATGAAGTACGGGGAGCTTTGCAAAGTTTGGATGAGAAAAAAGGGGCAGGTCCTGATGAGATCCCAGCTTTCTTTGCAAAAATGTGCTCGCTTTCACTTTGCCTGCCATTGACAATGCTGTTTAATCAATCTCTTTCTTCTGGGATCTTTCCAGAAGTCTGGAAGGTCTCTGCCATAACTCCGATCTATAAAAATAGTCAAAAAAATGATGTGAAAAATTATAGACCTATCAGTAAACTGTGCACTTTTGCGAAGCTTTTTGAGAAAATGGTCTACCCTTATATTTTTAGTTTTGTCATAGGTGACATCATGCCACAACAATATGGCTTTTTACAAAGGAGGAGTCTGGAGTTAAACTTGATAGAATATTCTCAATACATTTATGAATCATTTGATGCTTTCTGTCAGGTGGACGTAATTTATACAGACTTCAGCAAAGCATTTGATAAAATTTGTCATAACATTATGATAGAGAGATTGGAGGAGGTGGGAATCTGCGGTGACCTCCTTAGATGGTTTAAATCATATTTACTTAAAAGATCAATGTTTGTTGCCCTTTTAGGGTTTACCTCTGAGAGATTTTCTCCATCTTCGGGGGTCCCGCAGGGCTCCCATCTTGGCCCCTTACTATTTGTGATCTATATTAATAATATTCAGTTGTGTTTTGAATCTTGCTTGTTTCTCGGTTACGCTGATGACCTAAAAATATTTCTTAGAATTAGTTCAATATCAGATTGTGAAACCCTTCAAACTTGTATAAACAACCTCATAGAATTTTGTAATGAAAACCAATTATTCTTAAATTTTGACAAATGCTCTGTTTTATCATTTTCACGTGGATCTACTACTATAAACTACAGCTATAAATTAGGAAATACTTCTTTGAATAGGGTTACTCATATCAAAGATCTGGGTGTCCTTTTTGACTCTAAAATGATGTTTAATCTGCACATTGACAAATTAGTTAATGATTGTAATAGAATTCTTGGATTTATTAAAAGACAATGTGCCGATTTTCAGCAACAAGAAACAATCATAACTCTTTACTACGCATATGTTTTCAGTAAATTGCAATTTGCCTCAGTCATATGGAGCCCCAGATACAAAAACTCAATTGACAGATTGGAAAAAATTCAAAACAAATTTCTAAGATTTTTATGTTTTAAAACCCACTTCCGTATTGTAGATCATGATTATTCAATGGCTAGATCACATTTCAAAATTCTTGAATTAGAAAAAAGGCGAACTATATCAGATATCATGACAATATTTAAAATAATTAATAACTTATCTGACTCCCCGAGTATTCTCTCTAAAATTAAATTCAATGTACCTGCTCGAACACTTCGAAATCATGATCTGTTTTGCATTCCTTATTGTAGAACTAACTATTACCAAAACGCACCTTTAGTCAGGATGCTTAAGGCTGTTAATTTACATTGTACTACTTCTAATTTGGACTTATTTGCTACAAAATTGTTAACTTTTAAAAAAAACCTAAAACTTAAGTTTCTAGAATGAACTCTAGTGTGATATTTTATTTGTGATTTATTGAATAATTAAATCTTACCTAAGTTTTTAGATTAGAACAACGAAGACCTCTACATATACCAATGTGATATATAACTTGTGATTACTTATATAAATTTTTATATATTATATATATATATATATATTTTTTTTTTAAGCAAAGTATAGATATTACTTTGGTAATATCGGGATACTATTTTTGGAATTATGTTCTGTTTGTATCCCAAGGACTGTAATAAATAAATAAATAAATAAATAAATAAACAATCTCGCTGGCCTCTCCGCAGGTCACGCATGCACTGTTTCGTAAGACTGCCTTCCTTTCCCATAAGATCATCCCGATCCGACCCTGACCTTTATCTTCTACATCTAAACCCTGATTCAGAGCCATAATGATTCCATATATTATTTTTCATCTTTCTACTTCCATGCAGTAGTAGCAGTCTTGCAGTATCCTTAGACCCTTGTCTTTGGAAATAATATCCTTTTACTCTATGTTCTTGGTTATATGTACTTGTTTTCTATGTTTTCATCATCCCATTTATCCACTTGCTCAACATCTTTATGCGTCTCAAATTAATTCCTTCTAGGATTCCCTATTGGCCATCCAGGATCCAGGGCAACCCTCACACATGCGTGGTTCTTTTTGTTCCCATGTTCCTACTGACGTCACAGAAATTTAAAAAATTGAACGTTGGGTTCCTTGTTGCCTTGTCGGCTCCTGCGCTGATTTTCTCGGACGCCGTACTATTCCTTATCTTAGGAATTTTTAGAACGTCTGTTTGAAAGATAATATTGATCTTCTGAATTAGCAATCACAACTCCGGCAGTCAAAATTCTCGTAATATGTCTAATTAACAAATAGAACACAATGGAATTGTTATTGGAAAATTACTCTGTGGAAATGTTTTTCGATATCAGAACCACTAACAAATTCACCATTTCAGTTCAACACGAAAGTTTACCCCTAATAAGCTCTAATCAATCTACTTATTATGTCGCTAATTATGTCCCTAATTCGCTGAAGATAATGAACTAACTATTTCCCTTATTTTTTCACCATTCAGCTCAAACTGATACACCAATTACTCTCGCTTATAATCCACCCAATTAGCTCAAATGGATGCACTTGTTATCTTGCCAATTATCTCACTATTTAGCTCAAATTGATACACCGTCAATGTCTTCCTAATGGTCACACTTATGACACCAAATTGTCATGGATTTCGCGGGTCCACCAAACTCACTTCACCAACTATAACAAGTTTTATCAAAAATTAGCTTATCACTTATGGCTTTAACTCAAGTTTAAACAACAAATCTCTTAGTTAAACTGACCCACTGACTTACATACTACGTGGTTATATAGCAATGTGTTTTGTTCGGAAAGTCTCTAGAATCAGTTGCTTACACAATGAAAATCCTGAATAATCGCGCTCCGTCGTAAACGTAAACAATCTGGTCGTAGACGCAAACAATCTCGCAGACTTGTCCGCAGACGAATGAAATTTCGTAACAGTATCACATCATTTAAATTTTCAATTATTTAAGGCCGCGTTAATGGCCGCCATGTTTAAATTTAGTTTTTATATATTTTATTTTTTGTCCAAAACAAAATCTGTCTGTCGGTGAAACATTTAGTGAAAGAGAAAGATAAATATACAATTATGATGCTCTCAATGTAGCTTTTTTGCCGTGGTGCCATGTACTTGAAATTGCTTGAACTGTAACTGTCCAATTTTTAGCAATTTTCACCTTCAAAATTCGTTTTAAGGTCATCTCAAAAAATCCGCAATAATTTCCAAAATCCTTTTGCATAAACATTATTTGATATATTATCTACAATAAGCTTTTTTTGGTTTTTCGTGGTTATCAATAAAATATGCTTTTCACGGATCCGAGCTTGATAAACATGCAAATATGCAACCACCAACACATTTAGTTGTTCTGGTGGTTGCGAACATGATTTTTGAATTTAAAAAAAAGGCAGAATATAGAAAAACTAAAATAATCGAATTGTAGATAATCGATCAAAGAATGTTTATGCCTTATTTGAGCCAA